CTGCTACTGCTACTGACTGCTACTGCGCTACTGCTAGTGCTACTGCTACTACTGCTGCTGCTACTACTACTACTACTACTACCACTACTACTATGTGCCGGGCAATCTTGCAATCTTGGTCTCGCCGACTAGTTTACCTTTTAGACCAAGATTGCGACCAAGATTGTCAAGCAATCTTGCAATCTTGGTCTCCAAAAGGTAAACTGGTCGGCGAGATTGCAAGAAATCTTGGTCTCCAAAAGGTAAACAGTCGGCGAGCAAGTGGCGCAGGGGCAGGATGACCAAGATTGCTTGGCAATCTTGCTCCCCCCCGCCTGACAAAGACGACCAAGATTGCCAAGACGGTTCCACAAAATAAGTGTTCTAAATTCCCGGCACATTGTACTACTACTGCTGCTGCTGCTGCTGCTACTACTACTGCCACTACTACTACGACAACGGCTACTCCTCCTAGCAGGATTACGATCAGACCACTGGTACTTGCCGCCACGACGACCATAACGAGACGACGATGATTAGCTGAGCTAGCGACACACTACGGCTCCGACTACTGCCGCTACGGTCACCATACCACATCTGCAAACATGCAAACGGCTGATGCGGCTTCTTGCGAAACAGTTGGGACTTGAGCAATTGAGCGGCCCTTTGCACCGCCAAACTTGGCCGGTAGTTCCGCGCCCTTTGCATCCAGCGCTGCCTTGAACTTGGCCAAATTCTCCTGGACTAGTTCAAATGCTCTATGCCAACATACTCGGAAAGCGACTGTCTTTCGAGATCCACCTACGGTACAGCGAATCCATACGGAGTCCATGGCAAACAAGCATGAGCACTCCGGCTTCCTCCCGCGCTCGCTGGTGATCAACAATTGGCTTCGGGTAGTCCTGGCAGTTTTGGTTCCGGAGGAGCTCAAACAGGTGAAATCCCGCGGTCCACCCCACCTCTCCGATGATGCAGCCAGCTTTCTTTTGTTCTGTCACCGGTGCAGTCCACGGTTTGTCTTGGCAACGCGGAGATGCAAGCGTTGAACAGGCTCCGTGGTTCGAGCTTCTGCGGCAAAGCTACACAAGTACTTGGCCGGCATGTTCCTGAGCTCAGGCACCTGAGCCGAGTGCCGGGCTGGGTAGAGAACATTAGCCTTAGCCAAGCCCGGTGCAAGCTAAGCTGCCCACGTAATGCTTCACGAACTCTCCAGTCTGGTCAGCATTCAAACTTGACTTCGGGCCAGGACAAGGATCCTTGGAGCGAGAATGCCCTGCGATACCGCCACAGTTGACGCTCAACATGGATATGCGGAAAAGGTGTTCCGAGAGTCGTAGATCCGGAAGTAAGGCGCCGAGAACGGCGCAACACCTTCGCAAGTCACAAGCCACAAGTAAACGGCTTTCATCCCGTCACTGCTCTACGACTCTAAGAGTCGTGTCGTGCCTGCCAGCCAAAGCCAGTTGCCTCAGCTCAAGTTTGCACCGCAGTTACAACTTCAGCAGCTTCAGTGTAGCGAAAGTCCGTGCCGTAGATGCCAGCGTGACTTGTGCACATATGTATGCCGTGTGTGCCGACGGACTCTCCCGAAGACCTACATGCATGCATACACAATGCAAGCTGTTTCAATAGATGCATACGAGCACAATAATACTATGAGACATGCAGGGCCATGTACTGCGCATACATATATATATATATATATATCCAAGCTGCCGTTATTGACAGCCCAGTCTGCGTCCAGCAGAAGCCTGTCGAATACATCGCGGCCAGCTGTCCAATTCTGCCAGAGGTCTCCTGCGCCACAATAGTCACAACAACACACCTGATGGCACTCAAGTTCGCTCCGACCCGCTCCTCGTGTTAAGAAGCAGGCTACGGCATGGCGTCCCAGATGATGCATAAAGCCTGTCATCTGCCATCTGCCCGACTACTCCTAGCCCATTTAGTGTTACTATGTGTTACTTGCTTCCTGAACTAAACGAGCCTGTTTGTTTGAGCTGTCGCATCAAGGCATCGATGAATGGGTATCCTGTCTTGCCGGCCTGGAAAGCAAGTTTGCCCTGGCTTCTGGTGAACTCTCGAACGTGCATGCCACAACAGATTGGCGAACCAAAGGCAAGTAAGGAACTGCTAAACTTAGAGTCAGGTGGCCTCCCATGCAGCAAGAAGATTCTCATCGCAGCCCCAGGGAATCGCTTTGCACATGGAATTCCTGAAGTAGCACCAGCAAGAGGCTGGTAGGATTTGCTCGTTTACCCTACTGGCGCGCTCAACTGCTGTGCTAAAACCCTCACCAATTAGCTGACGCCAATAGCCAAGTGATTTCCGGATCTGAGCATCGACAAGGAGCCCCTCATTGCGATCGAAGTTTGGCACAGCTGCACCAAGCAAGTAGAACATCTCGCGGAAAAGCAGCCTGGGATGCAGGTTTTGAAGACCACAAACGCAACTCTTTAATAGCTGGGCTCGGAGTCGACGAGCGGCTGGCCGTGCAAAGACTGTGGGGGCTGAGAGTGGCTCTTGCCACGAATGCAGCGGTCGATGGCATACCAGGCCGTCCGCACCGAGAGGCAACCGAACTTCAAGTAGGGCGAGAGACCTGGCAAGTCGGCAACACTGGGCTAGAATTGCACCTGGCATTGTGAACTCGTAGACTTCTGAGCTGTATTCACTGCAACGAGGCCCAGTTCCCCCTGATCCACGGCGCCAAGCGCCAAAGAGGCGCCTGTGGTGGACGGCTCCCAAGGAGATCCCGGTCGGCCAGTAGAAGCTGTCTTCGGCTTCTCGAAGCAACAAACCTTGGCACAAAATCCCCGAGAAATTCAAGTCTACAGTTTATGTCAGCAATCTGCAGTTTAGCGTGCTCTGGTTTTGCCGGCGCACAGAGTTGACGGTGGGCCCTGACGATTGGTCGACTGCGGCCGACTTGCTATTGCGCAAAGTGTTCGGTAACATCAACATCAACCATGGACTGAACCAGGGGCTTGGTCTTTCTGGTTCAAGGCCACCTGCATACATGCAGACGAAGGATCTGGTTTTGGGGCACTTGCCGCCGCAACTCCGCAAATAGGTTTAGCTCTGAGCACGGAACCGCCCCGGACGTGACTCATGTGAGAAGCGTGACGACACTTGTGATTGCGCTCAGGTTCCAACTATGCCGGCAGTGCGCGGAAATGCCACCACGCCAAGTATAGGCACTTGATAACACGAGCTTGTGTCCCGGAGTAAACTGCCAGATGAGGATATTATTGTTCTTCTGCTATCAGCATTATTATTGCTAACTAGCATTTTCGTTAGTACTATTACTACTCCTACTGCTACTGATAATTAAGGGCTTTGTCGTCAGCCCGGTGGCATACTGCACATCTGAGCAGGTACGCTGAAGCCTGGCCAAGGCCTCGGTCTCGCCGCCTGACAGATATCAAAAACACATGGAAAATGTAGTGCAGTCCAGCGTTCTGTAGTTTATTGCGGTAGATTATAGCACATTCAGGTACATGATACCGTATTATGATAATGCTATGGTGCAGTATGGTACGTCATTGTGTACATTATAGTACATCAGAGTATGATACATTACAATGCATTGTAGTACACTCTGGTATGTTATAGTCTTTTATATTCTATTATGGTACAGGAAGTGTAATACATTATCAGGTGTTATAGTATATATTACAAGATATAGTGATATGTTGTAGTGCCTTATAGTGCAAGCATGCTATAGTACACGATGGCATACTATGGCACATTACAGTACATTGTAACATGCTATCGTGTATCTTTTTTTGTTCTTGTACCTTTTATTTTGGTCTATTATCGTACATTACAATTGTGCGTGAAAGGCACATTACATCATATTGATATGTATCATGTATATCGAAGGATCTTATATACAGTATTAGACGATAGTGCAGTGTATTATAGCAGATCATGCAGGACAGGCTGGGCTCTTCCCAGGTGCGCAATCGAATGCACGAATCTTGCGGAGAAACATCTTGAAACCTCGCCTCTTCCTAGCTGTCATGCTGAACAACCGGACAGGATCCGAAGGTTTTGGCCTGGAAATCCCTCGCTGCTTGGCTCTTCATCATACAGTTCGGAGATATCTGGTACGTGGTGTCCTGTCATACAGCATCTGCGAGCACTGACAGCACTGCTTGTCCTGCTTCTGAGACTGGCAGCTTGCTTGCAGACCAGTGTGTCCTTCGATCTTCAGAGGTGGAATTTTCGGCACGTCAAAGGGTTGGCGAAAGGGTCCCACGGCATTCACAATCTCAGTTGCCGGAGTCAGGTGGATCTTGCAGCACTGAAGTGAAATGACTGAAAGGATTAAAATCACACCCGGCCAAGTTGCCGTCTGAATGCTCTTCATGGAAATCGGAGGCTTAAAGCCTGGCTTCGCGACTGTAGCATCGATGTCCAACAGTGTGTGCCCAGAAAGCTTTTCCTCAACCAGCCGGCGGAGTGCCGCAGGGATAAAGCACTGGCCACAAAGGCTAATCGGTCACTTAATCAACACCGCCACTCTTCATCTTGAACCTACCGAGGAGTTCATGGCCAAGCGCATCCAAGCGTCTGCGTGCACTCCTCCCTCCTCGCACAAGCAACTTCCGACTCGCAGATGTGTGAAAGACTAGCTTTGTGAAGAGCTCGTGGCTTTCATCCCAGCCCCTGTTTCAATGCCATCAACCAAGTCGTGAAAAAGTTCGGTTCGGTCTGCCTTCGCCATGGCAAGCACGCGCTCATCGCGAGCACGCGCATACGGCTCTGTATCTGCCTCGATGCAGGAAATCAGCAGAAATGCTAAGTGAGCTTCGTCGACTGGCTCGATCCATCCATCGCTCCACATGTAGTCTCTCAAAGAAGTTGCGTAATCATCCTAACCGTGGCCAGCTTCTACCGAAAGCAACAAACTCCAAGGCCTCCCAGAAGATGGCCGACAGGTGGACGGGAGCCTGAGGGAAGCATGCAAGCCAATGCAAGCGTGAATGCGACTGAATACCGTAGACCTGACATGTATGGCAACTGGTAACCAGGCCATGGCGGAGTTGTGGCAAGAACTCGGAAAGTTCTGCAAAACGTAGCACGTTCGTCCGGCCTTCCCACCGAAGAGCTCCACTAGCACTTGCTCTGGCTGGCCTGCAAATGCTGCTGGGAGGTTTCTTGAACTGCTGCCTGTTCCGTGCAGTTTTGGTTTCTTCACTGGCATCTTGCTGTTGCTCATTGTGTGGCAGCCACTAAAGCCTATGTCAAACTTCACTTTGCGCATCCTAGAGAACTTGTGCGATCTCGAGGGGCCAGTATCGCATTGGCCTCGGAATACTAGTAGACGACTGCCGCGTCCGCGAAGCTGCCCGTCGAGGTCCTTGTGCGAGTGGAGCACGAGGCAAGATCAAACTTTGCCAATACTGCCCGGTGGAGTTGGGGGGAGGAGGCTGGGGCGGGTACCAATCGACTCCACCTCCCTCATCAAACGGGCCAGCGCCAGTCTCTTGGCAGTGACTCCCCACGCTGTCTGAGGATGTCCCACCCACCCACCCACCCACCCACCCGCATCGGGCGCCCGAACAAACCTGCATCTGCCGAGCAAACACATCTATGCAAGCCAACGAGACACAGGCTTTTCAACCACGAATGTGGACGATTCGACAGATGTTAGAGAAACAAGGGGGCAGGCAGCCAACCAGCCACGCACACTGATGCGAATACGGCCACGGGGAAGCAGTCCTTCAAGCTCTGCAAAAGAAAGTTGAACCTGCTGCACAGCCGTCAGGAAGCAGCATCAGAAGAAACAACGCAACTCACGATGCGGCGGCCTATTGACCCCGACACGGCTCTTGTCGAAGTGCGGATCGAGGATGAAAAACGGAACCACATCTAATCCACTGGCCACAGCCTGCGATCCGAAAGTGCAAGTTCGCGGATGCTGATGGATGCTGAAGATGAAATCTTACTTTCAACTATTCACTCTATGACTGCTACTACCGACACTGTACGACTTTTCTGCTCATATAAGCCTTCACCAACGGCTCGTTATCGTGAAGGCGCAGGCATTTCCGAAACCACACGCCGGCGGCCATGGATTCAGTAACTATATAGTTATTTTCGAGAGTGATTTTCATCAAACTTGGGGTGTGGACGCTTACCATGAACCTTTGTCTGTGCTCTGGGGCAGGAATTGCAAAAATAAGGTTTTTGAGTCATGCGCTGGTCGGAGGCAGACTTGACCCGAAAGTGCCAGCAACCTATAATGGTTAGAATGCATGAATCTCGACTGGGTTCTGTCACAGCTGATGACACGCGGCACCAAACCCAGCCCTTTCGAATTTTCCCGCTCTCGTGAGCAAATGAGAGCCCTTTAGTCTTATTGCTAAAGGGGCCGCTTCCAAAATCTGCTCATGGCTGGAAGCTTGCTTTGCAATTTTCCGAGCCACAAAACGTGCGCACACGAAAGGGGAGTCTCATGGCCCGCAACAGCCAAACAACGTCTTCTGCGAATTTTCGACGACTACGCAGTGATGACCGATGTACATCCAACCCGCTCAATCCTAAGGCCGACTCCACTTTCTGTCTAGCTTCAGACTCCATTTGGAGTGAGCTGTGGCACTACCTAGCTTTCCTCTGCAGCATTGTTGTCACAAGAGACTCGACTGCTGCGGAGGATGCTCCACGAGATTTGAATCTAGAAATCTAGTCCAGACCGGTGCTGCAAAGGTCCATGGGAAAGCTTGCCATTGACAAGCAACTACCCATGCTCAAAAGAATGTTAAAAAAAAGGGCGTGGCATGTCCACAACAAGAACTGGCACAAGGTCGGTGGACTCTGTGAGGCACCAGCGCAAGGCGCTACTTCCAGGTCACCGTCGAAACGGGCTCTGTGGGTACAGGTCGTCCACGTCACAGCTCTGCAGCCTCTCGAAGTTCAGCTCAGTGCGGGGTTTTGCCACCCCACCCATGGTCTTGAAGAAGATGATGGCTTCTTGTGGGCAAGCCGAAATGTCGAAAGTCTCATTCCTCCGGTGCCAGAGACAGTCCGGGCCCCTGGGCGACTGGTCCCCTTCAGGTCGTCCTCCCAGCTCCGGGGGCAACCGAGCTTCCAGCATGGCCATCACCCAAAGCATCTTCTGCTTAGAAGGTGCCAGTTGTTGCATGCTGCTACCATAGATGTTCAGATGACAAAAGCACAATCGGCAAAGGCACTCCACGAAGGCATTGAAGTTCAGGGACTCCTGGCCGTACCTCGACTCGCACTCCTGCATGTGCTTCTCGAGGGCGAAGGTCTGCACGAAGTCCGGCAAGAATTGAAGGTCTCTCAATAACTTCTGGAACAGGACCGGGCCCATCAACGGCTCGTTGTCAGGATCATTGAAATCCTCTTGCACGTAGTGCTGGAACAATGCCTGCCACATACACTCCGAGCTGATCTTCATGTAGAGATTGGCTCATGAACAGAGTCGCAACACTAATATATAAATAAATATAAATATATATATATATATATACATACATACAGACACTTCAGACATACACATTACATGCATACACCCACCCAACCACCCACCCACCCACCCACCCGCCCGCCCGCCCGCCCGCCCGCCCGCCCACACGGTGTGTATATGCACACAAACACACAAGAAGCAGCTCACCCCGAACGCAAAAAGCGATGGGCAACTCCTGCGAACGCCAGGAATGCCTCTCTTCATTGGGACTGGTCAGTTAGCCTGCCATGAATTCAATTCCCGAAGCATCGTGCGTGACGACGCTCCCTTAACCATGCAACCTTTTCAAGGGACGGGTGGCTGTCTGGGAGGATGTTACTTTTGCCCATGAGCCTGAAATCCAAGGTCTTGCGAAAGCGCGCCGTCCTACTTGCGCCACGCGGCTAATTTGTTCTCACCCGTCGCCGTATAATAACTATTACTGAGTATGCGCAGGCTCTTGTAGCATCTTGCAAGCCCTCAGCAACCTCTGATACTTCTGGGCGTCACTTAGCAAAGGAAATTATCCGCTCCTGGCGAGAGTGCAAGATTGAAAGTTCGACTGTACTGACAGAATAGATGCAGAGAGAGCAGCGTGTCTCTGCTCATCATTTTGAATCCCTCCCAAAGGATCATTATTTTTCCCTCACCGGTAAAACATGAAGTCTCGCCTACAACAGAGGCAAGAAGCTGCAACACAGACGCCGGACGATGCGGAAAGTGGGATTCTGTAGCTTTGGGATTGAAACACACGTGCAGGAATCCGGGCTCCGGGTTGTTTTTGCCTCCCACCTGGCTAGGACGAGCCCGCATTGCAGGGTACAGCCAAAGGAAGAGTTGACATCGTGGCTCGTGGTTTGGGGTGTAGGGTGTGGGGGTTTTCGAGTTTCATGGAGGGTTTATGGCTTCTTCTAGGGCTTTCTGGTTCAGGATGGTTCAGGGTTGTCGGGTTTCGACTCTCACTGTCGCACAAGCCTTGCCTGTCCCCATAGTGTCGGGTTTAGAGGTTAGGGTATGAAGCTTCTGCGCTTTACTTACACAGCTTAAACCCATCTACGGCAGGTGGGGAATCGCACTCTGAGCTCGCACGCCTGCACTGCCCACCCAGGCACCCGAGCGAATGGGCTGACTAATGTTGTTCCGCTACAATGCACGGATACCTCTGGCAATGCTTTGGCCGGGCCCAATGCGGTCTAGCAGCATTCCATGAACTATGGGCCCCAGCATGCCTCTAAGACTTAATATAGCTTGTTTCGGTTTAAGCCAAACAAGGAAACGGATGAGTGTGCTGATCCTTGCTTGTCTTTGACCGCACAAAGCAGGAAATGAGCCTAGAGTAACGATGAGGTCATCGATGTTCCATGCTTTCAGGTATGTACGGATGCAGACCTACGGTAGGTAATTTGAAGATCGGTGTGGCCTGCAGGAGTGCCTTGTACTCGTGTAGCAGTTGCAAACACTCTGGCTCGCACATCCTGAAGTCAGCAGCATCATCTTGACATGCTACGATGAAACACGCAACAAATGGAAAGCCGTGGATCTGCTGCTCCGCCAGATTCAGTTGCCAGCTCTGCGGCAGCTTGCTATCAGGAGGATCGCCCGCCTCACTCGCATCCTGCACACGTCGGTTCTGTGTGAACGGGGCAAGGGTCGAGAATCGGAATTGCCAGTGCAATAATGACCCGGCGGCATCTTTACATCCTAGTTTGCCCTAACTGTCGTTACATGTTCCCGCACAGAAGTCTTTCCGGTTTCTTTTGCAGCCGGCGGTCATCGCCAATCGTGGAGCCAGCGGCGCTAAAGAAGCTCAGAGCCCTCGAGGCACTGCGAGACCTGAAGCACACCGAAGCACGAACTTGGCAGTTCATGTCATGTCGGTACTTGAAACATGCTCCGTTACGAGTCTAACCTAACTAGATCAAAGCGCCCTCCCTCACAGGACGTGGTCGTGATCACTTGCAGCTCGTCCAAGCGACATATTCCTGGACATCGACCGCGACATTGACATGGCGCGCTGACCTTACAAGGAACAGTTTATTATGAATGCCTGCCCTGAGATTGCCATGACGCTGAACAGAATTGTTGTAACACCTGCAAACAAGTGACTTCCATGCATCGACTTCTTGCACTCTCCTGGCAGCATCGCATCATACCAACTTTAAAATTATTTTTTGCTCATGCCAAGCTCATGCGGCTTATGCTGTTTTTCCATGTTGCCGGCCTTGCATGGCTTTCGTCACCGTTTTCTGCGCATCATCATCGGTGATGCCAAGCTGCTCTTGCGCACGGGGTAGGAAGGTTTTGAAAATGGCTTCCACAATTTCCGGACCCTTTGCGTACAGGCCGCTGGAGCGGAGTACGGCTTGGATCGCATTTGCCCAGCTGCCAAAAGAAAGGGCCGGCGGATTCGAGTTGGCTTCTTGGCAGAGCTTGAAAATCTTCCCCGCCAGCACCCACGGTACTTTCCTTGGCTGTCCCACAACATGAAGCGGCAGCTGATGTGGCTGAGCTACGAGTATGTTACTTATGTCAGATCGCCATGCTGCGCGAATGCAACGGCAGCGACTGAACCAAGCATCAACTCCTCTGCTTTGCGGTGATCCCATGAATCAGCCGGCCCGATCAAGTCACAGTGTATCAAAAACCGGAACCATGTCCACCTGACAGGTCAGAGTGTCATTGCCATCACAGCATCACGGCAGCTGTCATCTCAGTGCTTCCTTCAATATGAGAAGTGTTCGCATGCCGACCTGTTCATCAGTGCCGCTTTCCCTCCCTTCGCTGTCACCTCAGCTGTCAAAGATATACTGCCGCTCCTACACAACGGCTTCTGCGGCAGTGGTGGTGGTCGGCTGCGTCGTGGCGGTAACAGTGGCAGTAGCAGGTAGCAGGTAGCAAGTGGCAGTGGTCAGTGGGGGGTATGCAGTCCAAAAAACAGTTGCCAAGACAAACACTTGCCGAGACATCCCGTGCGCTGCTTCTGCTACATGAGACTTGAAACCCGAGCACCTTCTTGATGGACTTGCGAAAGACGGCAAGCAGCAAGGCTCTCTGCTCGTTGTTCATGGCACTCCCCGGCCCTCAGCGAAGAACAAGCGTGCCTTCTTTCAGAAATCCCTTTGAAGCTCAGAGAGACCTAGGTCTTGCATCCTTCTCGAAATTGTAAGGTTCTGTTTTTTCCCGCCTTTGGTGGTGAGGGCTTGGTCCTCGGATTCTGTGGCGTCGGTCTGCTCCTCCGCCCTCGCATCTTCGATGTAGGCGATGCTGAGGTGCTGCTTGAACACCGGCGAACTGGGCACATAGCCCAGAGGCAGGAAAAAGAGGTGGAAGTGTCGCAACGCCTGTATATCAATGGCGCGATTGTTGGTGACCTTCTGAATGTGCAAGCTTGCCTGGACCGGGCAGTCTTTGGGATTTGATGCGACAGATGGGAATTCGCAGCTGGCCAACTTAGGACCGTCTGACTTGATGCCAGTGATGCAGACCTAACCGATCCGGCCTGTCTCTGATATTGAGCACGTTTTCGTGCGTTCTCCACGGCTGCTTGGGAGTTCATTAGCTGCTGCCGCGTCGATAGGGAGCCGTGCTTCTGGTCCGTTTTGTCACTCCTTCAGAGAAGCAGGACGGTGGTGAATCGCAACCATTCTGTCATCATGTTTATGCAGTGGAGAAGGAGAGGGAGAGGGAGAGAGAGAGAGAGAGCGAGCGAATGACAGAAGGATGGAGGAGACAAAAGGTTCAAGGCCGCATGGAGATTTTTAGATCACTTCTTGACTTCTTGATTTTGTGCCTGGTCGATTGCGAAGACATGCCAAGACAAAGCAGCAGCCTTTCTACGAACAAAGATGGAAAAGGGTACAGTGCTTCCACGAGATGTCCCAGTACGCATGGACATCAGTTACAAGTCCTTGAGAGTGGACGGCGGAGAGCTGCCAGAATAGCCCAATTGGGAGGCGAGTCCTTAAAGGAGACACCATTGTCGTCGAAGAAGTCCTGGATGATAATATGCTCTGGCCTGGGTGCAGAGCAGCACGGGGCATGACCTGTAAGCTCAGGACCGTGTAGCATCGGATCTGCAACAATTTCGCAGCGTCATGGCAGAATCTGCCGCCCGGGCACGGCACATCATCGTCGATGCCGTGTAAGGACTGAAACACAGCAAGTGCGGCTTCGAAAGCCTTGCCCTCAGATGAGATCAGAAAACGTAGTCTCGTGCTGGGACGTGCGAGCAAGGCAGCATAAAGCAGCGAGACGTTGGCCTCAGCTCAGACAAGGCAAGGTACCTCCTTTTCCTTCGGCTCCTTTGTGCTGCCACGACGAGAGCCGCAGTGTGAAGGCTTTCGCGAAGGATTCCGAGAGCTTGCTTGTGAGCCTGGACAAGACTGCAAGTTTTAGGCAAGGCGAAAGAAACCCGCAGCAAGTATTAGTTAGTGGCTTCTGCAGAGGAGTGTTGCCAGATCTTGTGTCTCCCATGTGTTTCCATAGGCCTTTCGGTGAGTTCGAGGGAGGGACAGACAGCCATGGCAGCGGAGGCGACATTCAACAGCAGCCCTGCGGAGATCAGATGATCAGATCGGTAGTGTCTGAGTAGAGCTACAGGTGGCTGGCTCCTGGTCCTGTTGGTCCTGTTGCCAAGCTGCTGGAGGGTGTCAGTTTTAGCAATGTCGCGGCCTTGGCCGATCTAAGTTACATCACTTGAACTCAACCTTACCATCACAACATGGGTTACAGGAAAGCTTTACTTTGAGCCGCGGAAATAGAATAAATTTGCCAGTTCATGCACCAACCAGCAACGTGTTGTGTTTTTTCAACCGACAGTGCAACTGGCTAAGCGGGAGCAGTAGCCACGCCTCTCCTTCTGATTCCATGGTTTTGCAGAGTGAGGCTTTACAACTCTGTGGTCTACCAACCATGGCTGCCTTGAAGATAGGGCCTCTCTGCCTTAGTTGCTGTTCGTAGGTCGCGCGGTTGGAAATTGGGGAGATTCGTGTCAGCCTGAAGCAGATTTCCGAAACTACATACGATAGGTGCGAATAACATGCTAGATGCTGTACAGCACCGTGGATTTGCATTCTGTCGGCTTCGGTCGCCAATCCAAAAAGAGCATGCAGTACCCCTCTTGCTGTTTTAGACGCCTGCTTTGTACGAGCAGCGCAGAATCAAGCTCTTCCACTCCACCAGACGAAGAATGCTAGATGCTGCCAGCGAGGAGCATCATCACCGGTGAGACGGCCTGGCCTGGATTTATGTCGAGAAGTACGTGCCAAGCCAGACCACGAATGAGTTTCATCCCAGAAGGACAAAGCCAAAGGGCCGCCCAATCAAGCGCTGAAGCGCAAGCAGGCAATGCCTGACCTGCGTGCTGGCCTTGCTTGCTTTGCAGTGCAATGATAGGCGAATGCAGTCCTCGTTCCAGCAAGCTGACTTACAGCCTCACGCACTTCAGCTGAGATGTCTCATGCATGTCAAAGATGTCTCCAGCTCCCAGTTTGCCACGGTGGCATTCAAGAGCTGTTCATTCCAATCAGCTTGCCTCTGAAAGGTCGGACTTGTAGGAATCACGTGTCCACGAGATGAACCGTCCAGCTTCCGTTTCAAGTGGAATAGTTATGTCCATCTCAGAATCGTGCGCACCGTCTCCATGGGCCGCATCCGTCCTTCGTCTTCGCTGGAGCTTCCCAAATCGGTGAAGCATGCGCGTGCGGAAGCATCCACACACACACACACGTGTGGGTGTGCTTGGCTCGACCCATGTTTACTCTCACAAGTAAAGATATGCATAGACTTAGATAGACCCACATCTCGTTCTCCATCGCGCTTCACGTGCCAGACGAGGTCTTCACGCCGCCTTTCAGTTCCACATGCATTCAGAAATGAGTGCAATGACAGGTACTGGCAAAATGGGAACACATCCGAAACTAGGACCGTGTCAACGTACTGTAGCAGCCTGATGCCAGTCTGCTGATGACTTGCCTTGGAGACACACAGGCCCGTAGCCCATCGCAACGCAAAGCACCTGAGACCGAAGGTGAGCATCACTTACTGGGCCACCACTCATTCAGCTGTATCCACGGCGCACTACGGCAGCAGTCACAAGCATGACTGCATAGCCAACTCCCGCACCTCGCCAGCTTGGAACAAGGTGGAGTCTGAAGCATCGTCCTCATGAAACTGCATTGCTGAGCAAGTGCTCTGCCGCGCACTGTGCATGAGCATGTGTTGCAGCTAATCGCCTCCGCCTTCAAATCCCAAATTCGCAACGAGTTGTCCGCACCTCGCAGAAGCACATCCGTGTGCCAAGCCTAGCTCCCTCGGCCCTGCCGGGCTCCTCAGCCCCGGGCTTCCGGTAATTGCCAGGCCGGACGACCAGTCGACACTCAAACACGTCACACCTATGTCGAAGCCCCGCAAGCACATGGAGTAAAATGCATCCGGACGGGCCGAACCGCTACAGAAATGGAGCACATTCAACTGATGCGTGCAAACCAAGATCAGTCAGCCCCGCCTCCTGTGTGACCTTCGAACTCTTGCACGTCCTGCTGGCGCTCGTCAGCTCTGCGGGTTGCTGCTTGCGGTTGAGACATGGAGATCAAGAGATATCAAGAGTTCAGGCCCTGAACGTCGCAGGATCGCACGAGCTCCTCTGAGCTCCAATGCCAGAGGCGCACCAGCCCGTCAGAGCTGCCACTGAGCAGTTGGCTGGAAGACCAATCCACTTCCAAACACCTTCGCACATCTTAGCACAATGCTCACATCCCTTCAGACATGCACAGCGCAAAGTTGCTGTTGCCAAGGCCTGACAGTCACGTCGTGTGGCAGCACCTGTGTGCAGAAGCCGTGGCTCAAGCACCTGCGAGATTTTCGACTTCTGTTCCATTCCGTGCGCTTGCAACAGGTAGTTCCGAGAAAGTGACCACATCCGCACGGTGGCATCCTTGCTGGCACTGGCAGCTTGCTGTGTCTGCCACATCAGGTCCACCTCAGACTTGACCGATATCTAAGCTCCAGAAACGGCTACTTAGGAGAAGTGCACACAGAGATGCAGCAGCTATCAAACCGAGATGAAAACTGAATGTGCGACAACAGCACGCCGCGAACAGCAGCAGTGTGACCTTCGAGCACTGCAACGTTGGCAGCCTCGGGCTCGAAACTCAAATCGAAGGCTCAGACGCTTGCTAACAAGATGCCCTTACTAAGGGCATGCCAAGAGGCCGTTGACAAATCCCACAACCTTTGGCCAAGGCCATGGCAGTTGACATTAGAGTAATTACTTGCCACTCCTCGTTACAGTGGGAGCTTTCGAAGTCAATCTTGCGGTGTGCGCCTGCTGCCCTTCTGTCACCCTAGATTTCTCCTTCCAAGAGGAATGAAACTGTTGCTGATTTATCTCAATCTCTGGTTGAGCAGGCATCCAAAACTTGAACTCACCGTCATGATCCAACCACTACCACTATTGGACTATGATTGAAGCCGCATGCCAGGGGACCGCAGAGCACAGTCCTCACCACCAGTCAGCGCCTGCCGTGCTGACCATGCCACGCCGATGCCTTGGAACTGTCGCCTTTCTCCAAAAAAGCTGTGCTCGGACGTGTTGCAGCCCATCCCGAACGGGGCATGCACAGCTTTCCTTTGCCACGGAGGCACCAAAGGTGCGCCAGTTGTGCTGTTTCTTCAACCTTGATCTGCCCGCATGTGCAGTGCATGCGAGGCTCTTGCCAGGTGTGGCTTGTGCGTTGATGCTTCGTTTCAGCAGGCCCTTCGTCCGACCATATCAGCAATCAGGGCTCGATGAAGGGCACGGCACAGCAGTGGCACAGCATTCGAACGCCCACGAGCAACAACTCATGCAACGAAGTCCGTTCTCAAAGAACACATGCTCCTGACCGCGCTGTACGATGCTTCCCAATCCGCAACAACTGCACTTCTCGCGTCACCTGTTAACATCGCCAGGCTACAGCGTGCACCGCCATCATGACCTGCCAATTGTAGTAGTACCTGCACACAGAAAGCAGGTCAGGCTCGGGACTGACGAAGCTCTCAGGCAAAGCGCGAAATCGCCACGTCAATTTTCCCTTCCGCACTGCAACGATCAAAGCCTACAGGCGAGGTTGATTTTGCATCTAGTGTTCCGGCTTTCGAGCACACGGCCTCTGCCGTATCCAGATTCCAAAGCAACAGGCTGCTATCGCAGCTTCCGCTGAGGCAGCGTCGGCCATTCCAATCCTCAACTACAGCGAGTCCTCTGCATGGCTGAGTGTATGCAAGTCCCATTGTTGGAATTGGCATGTCGTCGATGCGACTCCCTCAAGCTAGGTCTGTTGCTGGCATGAGGCGCCTTCGACACAGCAAACTGCATCATGATGTCCTTGAAATCTTCGCAGCACCTATCAGAAACCGGATGTTGCCCGGATGCCGCAGAATTCACACTCCGAAGCACGTGGCATGGTTTCGTTGTTTGCTGAACCGGTTTAGAGTCCGAACTGTCAAGCCATGGCGTGAATCCTCAGAACATCAATCCAAAAGGGAATAGACTGGTGCAACAAAGGTTCGCATCGGTCAAAAGTAACTATATGTTTTCTGGAGCTGCACGCACGCATCTGCGTCTCGAAAACTGCGGATGCCTCTGATGAACAAAGATCCCATAGGATCAGTTGACAATCATCACCACCAGTCCTGGCATAAGCAGTGGCACAGTCCACCAGAATGAGCCCGGTGCATGGTGGGTCACAACCTCTTCCGACTGTGTACGTTTGGGCAAGCAGCAACGCATGCATGGAAGCCCAATCAACTGCCACGCAGAAGACGGTCCGGTCATACCTTGCAAAAGGCAGCATCGGGTACTGTTGCGTGGAACGACCGGTTCTTCTTCGATCTGGCAAGATTAAATAGAGAACTCTCGACTCAAGCTGATGCTTCTGCCAGGTGCTCTGGCAACTCCTTGACGCAAACCCCGCGGCGGAAGACATCGCGAAGTCGAACCACCGGGTCCTCGGGTGCGTACGTGCATATCGCAGGGTAGAATTTTAGAATACAGTTTATACCTTCGTGTGCATGTGTGTGTGTGTGCTCGACTGATCTGGTCCTGCAGCACTATACAAATCAACAGTGCGTACCCCCAAGAGCTTGGCAATGATATGCAACTCTACTGTACCAGGCTTTCTGAACTTTAACTTGCAGAGTTCTCAAGTGTCCTTACTTTCACCCTGTGCCAGGCGGCTGCCCCTACAGCAAGGACTCGCTGCTGTTCCCAATCCACCTCCAGAGCCGTAATTCTGTGGTTTGGGAGGCAGCGAAGACCTGGGTCTGAAGGCCACAAAAAATCCAACTCAGCGTGGCATCGCGGACATACTGCCAGGCTGCAGAGGCCTCTCCCGACATCCTGCGCAATGGCACAAGGGGGTGAGCAGGAGGTTTCAGCTTTCAGTCAGATTTTGGTGCAGGTCCACGGTCCCAAAGTCGCAGGGTGCAATCTGCAGCAGCGCTAATGGCCACGGCCGACGGCCAGTTCACCTCTCAAAGGCATCCTCTTTTTTTCAATTGGATGTGAGACTCCTGATCCTACCTGCTACTCGCGGCTTGGTCTTCTTGCTATCTTTGTTCTTCCTGACTTCACTGATACTGAACCAACACTAACTTATGCCAACTAGAGTAACTAGATGGCTGAATACAGCTGAACAAGACACACAAGAAACACGCACATGTATGTCCATGCGCGCAAGGCGTATCAAACATCTCTCGATTTTTGCGAGACTTTGATGCGGCCAAGCAGCTACAAGGCAGCTCACTGCGTCTAAATGCCCACAGAGGACCTTCTGATACCAAGATGCCGTTGAGTTTCGTGTCTGCTTTTGGTTGAATGACAATGTCTTGTTGCACAATCTGTGGCATGGATGTCATAGCACTCCAGAGCTGTCTCGAGCAACTACCGGGTAGCTACCGGCTCTGCAAGAAGGCTTTGAGGTTGATTCCGCAAGAAGGAGCTGCCTGGTCGCTGCCAGGGCACACGAAGGCAGCTCCCCAGAACCAAATTCCAAAAACACAGCCTGCCATCCTCACGCAAGCACAGTCGACAGGACATGGCAAGGGATGTTTCGGACGTCGCGAAATCCTCCGCAGTCTGGCCAAATGCTGGAAAGCATCGTCACCGGATGTCAAGGCACTCTGCCCAGCCCAGTCGACTTCCAGTACGAAAACGGCAGAGCCTTCCAACCCCGTGCGAACGCTGTGAAACGGACGCAGCTGAGAGAAAGTAATTCAGGAAAGCAGCTATGTGCTTGGATCGCTTTGCGCTTCCGAGCCTCTCCGCAGCCTCGCTTGTGGCCGTGAGATGTGCTGCTACTTCCATGCCTGTGACAAGCTGAGGTGCTCCAGAGGTACAGGGTCCCATCAACGCCCCCAGCTGCGACCTCCCGCATGTCAGGGTTCACCGACCTGAATTTCATTGCGAAGTGCGTGTCTTTGCATTTGCCGTGGTCTCCCTTTCAAGCACCTTGCAGTAACCTTGCATCGAGTGGCATGCAAGTGATGGCTGGGCCATCGGGAGAACAAAGCCGCAGAGCCTGTCAAGCCAAGTTCTTGATTGGCCTTGTCATACTCGACTACTAATCCCCCTTTTGGCTCAAGCCTTCCCATCAAATGCAACGCGGACACGCCAATGATCATAATTCAGTTGGCAATGCGTAAGCTGACTCCGTCTACTTCTTGCGGGCAAGAGAACTTCAAGCGGAGCGAGATCCCACAAGACGACACGGCCGGAGAGATCTCCACTCACGGCTTGAAGGTCGTTCCAGTTTGCCTGGGTGACCAAGCTCAGACTAATGCATTGTGCATTAGACGCACTCGTCTTCAACAAAGCCGTTTCTAGATGTGTAGAGTGCTTAGTAACAGTATCGATTGCATGTTGTATTTGTAACTGTATGTATTTCCGTGTGTATGTGTGGGTAGGTGGGCAGGCAGGTATGTGGCAGATGCAGGTAGGCAGGCAGGTAGGTTAGGAAGGCAGGTAGGTAGGTAGGTAGGTAGGTAGGTAGGTAGGTAGGTAGGTAGGGAGGGAGGGAGGGAGGGAGGGAGGGAGGGAGGGAGGGAGGG